ACCATGCTCCTGGGAATTTGGGAAGATTCCTGGGCCCCTGGCTCCCTCCCCAAATACCAATCCCTTTCTAATCCACTGTCCCTACTCAAGGTTTGCAGAGAGGAAGGGACTTACCCAAGGTCACCCAGGCAGAGAGGGCCTAACCAACAGAGCACCCAACCTGGAGCCACAGGGGACCTGCCCAAGGGTCATCTGTCCCCCGGTATCAACTAGGAGCCCAAGGAAGCCCCCTTATCCCAGTGCCCAAAGAGCTCAAGGCAAGGCCAGGATACCAGACAGGAAATGCTTAGGGCCCAAGAGGGCCACATAGATGAAATCAGGATAGGAGACTGTGAAGAGGTAGAGCTCCAGCTGTGCCCTGGAGGCTGGGATAGGAACTGGGATGTGTGGGGTGAACACTCAAAGACGCCTATGCAAAGCCCAGGAGTAGCCCAAAGATTTTTGTGTAGGAACAGTCCAAATGGAGCATGAGCCAGAAGTCCTCTTAGGGGCCTTCAGAGACATGGAATATCTGGCAAGGTCTTGAAGGATGAGTAGGAGTTTTTCCAGAAAGGCTTTCCGGACAGGATTTATATATGCCAGATGTAAAGATAAGAAGAGCTGGAGAAACTGCAAGCATTTCAGAGGGCTGCCTACCATGTGCTCTTGGGTGGGGCTCCGTGGTGAGTGATGGACCAGTGAATGGAGTGGGGGTGACTTCATCTGGTAGGAAAGGAAGGGGGACCAAGCAGTTACTGAACATCTCTGCTGCCTGCCCAGTACTGCCTCCTTTGGTTACCAACCCACTGCCAGGCAGCTACGAGGGCTCACGGCTGGAGTCTGCTCCTCTGTCCACTGCACTGCCAGGCTGTCTGCCCCTCTGGCTGCAGGGCTTTCACAGCATGGGTCAGGAGATGACCCAGGGAAGGCAGAATGCACACTCCCAGGCCAGGCAGAGCTTTGGAAGGTGTAACAGACCCAGCGATTGTTCCCAGAGCCAGATCAGCTCCAGGTGAAAGGAGATGGTGAGGCTGTAAGGTGACACTGTGTGGCACCACCTGAGCTGGTTAATCTTGTATCTGGACTTTTCCCAGCTGGGCTCCCACAGATTTCTGGTCAGACAGCCCATCTCCAGAGGAGGGGGTGGGGCGGGAGGACCACCTACCAAGCTCCTCACCCTCCTCCCCAGCCTCACTGAGGACCGGAAGTGAGGGGGAGGGAGATGGGGAAGTCCAGATGTCGCCAGGAAGCCAGGTATCCATGAAGAAACAAGCTTAGGGTGCTGCAATGACTGGGACGTGTAGTGCAGCTGGATCGGAACCCAGGTCTTAAACACCCAGTATTCCCATCTTCACCTGCTGAGCACCTACTGCGTGCAACGCCTCCAGAAATGCTGGAGGGACAGGACTGAGAGGGGGACCCATGGGAGGAGGAACAGGGCAGTGGGGTCATCTTTCTTTTGGACACCTCTCTTAGAGGTAGGTCCCTGGTGCTACAGGGCCCGGGCTGGGAGGGTGGAGGTGAGACTGGCTATGTGTGTGACTGAGGGAGTCACTTGTCACCTCTGAAGGGCTGGGCTGGGAGGAACAGTACTCACCACGCAATGCCAACAGCCTGTGAGAGCTGCGCTGGGGAGACGGAGGTGGACTTCGGTATGGCCCTGACAGAGGCGGCTCCCCCCCTTCCTGAGGCCTCCCAAGAAGCCTGGGAATCTGGAAAGGTCGGGAAAACAAAAACCCAAGTGGGGGTAGGAAGAGAGCACACAGCAGGCCCTCAGAACTTCTTGAAGAGGCCAGTTCTGGGCAGGCCAGGGCTGTCACACTGTTGGCCATCCACACAACTGCCAGGGTGGTGGGGGATGGTTATGTCTCGTTGCATCCCAAGAACAGAAGCTGGGGGCTCCAGAGACAGGGCCAGCCTACAGGCCATTATGTCTGTTTTGCATTGTATTAAAAAACAGAAATGATGCTGGACTCCTGTGGCTCACGGCTATAATCCTAATTACCTACTTGGGAGGCTGAGATCAGAAAGATTGCTGTTCGAGGCCAGTGTGGGCAAATAGTTCATGAGACCCCTTCTCCAAAATAACCAGAGCAAAAATGAACTGGCGGTGTGGCTCAAGTGGTAGAGCACCTGCTTTGCAAGTGCAAAGCCCTGAGTTCAAACCCCAATCCACTAAAGAAAGCAAAAACGAAAAAAGGGCTAAGGTATAGTTCAGTGGCAGGGTGCCTGCCTAGTATACACAGAGGCTCTGGGTTTGATCCCCAGCACAGTGAAAAAGAAAAAGAAAAAGAAAAATCGAGGGAGTCAAGCTATAAGTGTGGCAGAGTGGACTTTAGGTCACAACACAATGCCTTTCCATCAGAAAAAATGTCATGGAGATAAGACATTTAATTAGAGGGACTCTGGGTGACTAGAGCCATGGCACACACTTCCTTTCCACTGTGTACCTTTTGGTAATTTTCAAATATAGACTGTGTGCTGCTATAATCTAGTCACTTAAATTCATTAAAAAAAATAAAGGACATAAACTGTACATGGCTACACACACCTGTAATCCCAGCTTCTTGGGAGACTGAGGCAGGAGGATCTCAAGTTCAAGGCTGGTCTTCTACATAGTGAGTTTGTAGCCAGCCTGGATAGCTACACGGTGAGACTCCATCTCTAGAGACAAATAGCTGGAGGTATGGCTCAGGTGGAAGAGCATCTGCCAAGCAGGTACACAGTTGTGTTGGGAGCAAAGCTTGTCATGGAGTACAAGTTAGGTGACAGATCGAGTGCTAGGGACTGCCCACTGTGAGTATCCTGGCAAAAGGAGGGAAGAATGAGTAAGTCCATCTTCCTGGTCACCTTGGGTGTGTCACTGCACCGCCTCCCCTTCGCTATGAGCAATGGGAATGACAGAATTTGATACTTTGAGCACAGGTGAATGTTTGCTGTCCATAACTAAAGGCCACTGGAAAAGCCAGGCTTGAAATGGCCCCTCTCACAGTCAGAGGGCTGCCCAGGATGCTACAGGAAGCCAGGGAGAAGGAGCAAAATCGACTCCTTCTGTAGTCCAGAAGGGCAGGAGCCCCAACTGGAGGGTGATAGTGAGCAGGAGTGAGGGTGCTGAGAGGGGCAGAATCCACTGGATGAGTGGGGAAAAGGAGGCTGACATTGGTGGGGATGTGTGAAAACAGATTAGATTTGGGGGAGTGACAAGATACCTGAAGCAGGTGAGTCACGTTATATGAAGCTCAGATATGGGCTCAGAGCAGTGTGGACTAGGAATGGTTTCTATATTCAGATGGTTTGGGGGTGGTGCAGAAATCAAAAGAATAATGTTTCAGGACCATGAGAACGGTACAAAATTCAAATTTTAGTGTCCATAAATAAAGTTTTATTGGAAGATGGACCTGCTCATTCTTTTACAAAGTGGCTATGGTTGTTTTTATGATACAATGGCAGAGTTGAACAGTTACAATCTAACCATTGGGAAAGGGTTAAATGAAGTTTTCCCACCCTTGGCTTAGAGGGAGCCTTTAGGGAGGAGGAAAGTGGGAGGTTGATGTGGAGAAGGTGGCGGTCATGTCACCATGGCCTTCTTGTGCCTTGTTCAGGCACTGAACTTAAACTTAGGTTAAGTGGGAGCCATCCAGGGTTCAGGGAGGAGAGTGACCTATTGGGATGAATGGTGGAGAACAGTCATTCTGGCTGCTTGACAAGGATGGAAGGTGGGCACAGAAGCACCTGGTACAGGAAAACCTGCCCCAGCAGCTCCAATGTCCTGAGCATGTACATTTGCAAGGACACAACCTGGGAAACACCTCCCTGCCCTCTGTGGGCACTTGTGCTGATGGCACCGGCTAGGTACCTGTGGATGTGCCTACTCACAGGAAGGCTGAGTGGCACCGGAACTGCTGGAAGCCAGGAAGAGTGGGAAGCACATGGATGTGCTTCTAGGCCCTGAGAGATGCCCCAGCAAAGGTGTGAGAAGCCAAGTTCAAATCCCAGGTGCTCAGAGAACCCATATAGCAGGAGAACAGGCTGGAGGTCAGGAGGCCAGCAAGGCCCAGCCCAGTGCTGGCTGGCAGGAGGTTCCCCCAAGGCAGCACCCAGAGAGGATATGAAGATAGCTTTGGGCCCATGCCTGGGTGGCTGGGGTTGGAAGGACACAGGCCCTGTCGGGCAGCCAGGATACCCCAGTCAGACACTCCATGACAGGCTCCACACCGTGCACATCCCACAGGCCCAGGGTCACCACTGTGTGTATACTTAAATCACTGCCGCCGAGCCTCGCCCGTACCACAGCACAGGACCTAGGGGCCTTGCCACTGTGTGTGCACGTAGTCACGATCTAGGTGCACGCCGGCACACACAACACAGATCCCATACGTTTTTGCACGCGCAGGAACCGACCCTGGTACGCTGTGACTCACACAGACCCAAACACACAGACACACGTCCACGCACATCCGGACACGGAGCCCCACGCGCACACCCTGCAGACACTCTGCCGGGCCCCGCCTCCCACCGCACACACACACCCGCACAGGACGCCCGGGCCGTGGGCCGGCGCACGCACGGTCACAGGCAGGGAGCGCGCACACTCACACATTTGATCCGAGCACACGCGGGAGGCGCGGAGCGGCAGCCCGAGCCTGCAGTCCAGGCGCCCCCGGCGCGGTGCGGCGCGCGGAGCCCGGCTGGCGGGGGAGGGGAGGGGGCTGCACGGGGGCGGGGCGGGGGCCGGGGCCGCCCGGGTCGGCGGGAGCGGGCACCTCTGCGCGCAGAGCTCGGCCTCGCCGCCGCGCCCCCCGCGCCCGCCCGCTCGCCGCGCCCCCGCCGCCGCCCCGGGGTGCAGCCGAGAGGCCGCGCCGGGCCCGTGGGACGGGGTGGAGGTGGGGTGGGGGGCGGGGATCGGGCCGGGCCGGGGCCGCGCCGCCTGCGATGCCGGGCGCCCGCCGCAGCCACCGCCGCCGGAGCCCGGGATGGGGCGAGAGGCTGCGGCGGACGCCAGCATCTCCCCGCCGGGGGCCCCGGGGGCCGCGGAGCCGCCGCCGCCGCTGCTGCTGCTGCCGCCGCTGCTGAGACCCAGCGGGCGATGGGTGAGTTGCCCCTGGAGTCCGGGGACCCGCGCCGCAGCCCTGCATCCCCGCGCCCCGGGCCTCGCCTCCGGTTCCGCGCGCGGCGTCCCCCACCCCCGCGGCTCCCACAGCCCCTCCCGGAGCGCGGCCCTGGGGACAGGGGCCGGGGGCCGAGGGGGAGCGGGAGGCTGGGGGCTGCTCAGCCCGGCGCCCCCTCCCCCAACCCGGCTCTCCGCAGAGCTCTCCCTGGCCGCAGGGCAGAGCCTCAGCGCGGCGACCTCCTCCTCGGGCTGGGCGGAGGGCGTCCCGAGGCGCGGGGCTCCAGCTCTGCTTTGTGCGCCGCGCTCCCCCTCCGGCGCCGAGCGGGGCTGGGGGCGAGAGGCCTCCACGCCCGCTTTCCCCACCCCCGACCCCGGGCTGCGGCTGCGGCCGAGGCCCAAGCGCTGTCCGGGGCTGGGCGGTGCGGGGGCTGGGGCTGTAGCTGCTGGTGGGGACCAGGCAGAGGCTAGTAGCGAGAGAGCCCCCCCCACATCTTTTACTGAGGGGGGGTTATCGGCTCTTTGCGCTGCACTGCCCAGGGCGGAGGAGGGATCCTGGCTGGGGGGAGGGCGCTATAAATATCTGCAAATAGTGAGTTCTGGAACCGGGGGTGGGGAGGGGAGCGCCCGGTTGTGTGCGTGGGGTGCCGAGCTGGGGCGGAGGAAGAAGAGGTGCTTGCGGTGTAGCTATCCCTGGTGGCCCGAGGTCTGATGACACTCCATTGCTCTGAAGACACACCCCAGGAGGGATGTGAACAGGCACAGTTACCCCTGTGGGATTCCTCCCTCGTCCTCGGGACACCGGTCCAGATATGCTTTGATGGGTGAGTTGAGCGCACCGGTGTGTCACCTGGAAGGGGCACAGTTTATTAAAGGTGCAGGCACTGGGCCAAGCATGCAGACGGCCTGGAGAGCAAGACAAGGCCCTTGTCCCCCCAGGAGCTGAAAGTCAGGGGTTATTAATGCTGCCCAGTTCTAAGGAGCTAGACAGAGGCCCTGGGAAAGTTTGAAAGAGGGGCTCCCAGCCTGAGAGAGAGAAAACTTAGTGAAAGAGAGGATGACAGGAAGGTGGAGAAATTGGCTAGGCCGAGGGAATGGCTCCAAGGTGTGAGTGCCTGGTATGTGGAGAGCTGGGGTGGGGGATGGTGGCCCTGTGAGCCACCACAGTGAGAATTGAGCTGAAGAGGGGGAGAGGCTGGAAGCCAAGACCAAAGGGCAGGAGGGCCAGGTGGAGGCTAGGTGGCAGGCCAGGCCAGGGAGCTGGCACTGGCTTCTGAGGACAGCAGGGAGCTGTCCTGAGACAGGGCTGGAAATGAGCAGACTGGCTCAGCTGCCCCTCTGAGGCTCTGCCCAGGCGCCTGTGCTCAGGGCTGCTTCATGCACATCTGTCACCCCTTTTGCTGCAGCCCACTTCAGGCATGGTGTTCCATGCCTCGGTTTCCACCTCTGTCAAATGGGAAGAATCCCCACCCCTGCCCCCAGGATTTTGGAGAGGACTGAATGAGAGGAAGTATATAGGATGGCTGAACAGTATAGGAAATCTCTGGCTGCTGCGTTGGTATTATTACCTGTAAAATGAGGACATCTGATGCCAGCTGGCAGCCAGGCAGCTTCACCAGGAGGGCAGACAGTGCTGAGGATCACGTGAGGACTGATGGGAACAGGAGGGAGCTGAGGGCTGGGGACTGAGTGTCTGGTCCTCCTGTAATTCTGGGAGGAGGTAAGCACTGAGTGGCTGGAGGCAGGCAGTCTGCAGACACTGCCTCCTCTTGCCCCTGTGGGCACTGGCCATATTCTGCCCCTATCCTAGCCAAGAGATTTGGGGTATACTGCTCTGCTCCCCAAGGCCGAACCCTCTTTGTTCCCCAGACTACATGATGCCAGCTCTTGCCGTCTATATGGGTACCAGGGCTCCCTTGTAGAAGTTTCTTCAGACATTCAAGCCAAGAAACATGGCGTCCTCGGGAGCCGGATGCTGGGCTGCGTAGAGAGGACGTAGGCCTTGCTGTCAGGAGGTTAGAATCTAGTTGAGCAAGGGATCCCACTGAGTATCCTGGTCTGCCCACACCCGTGCAAGTCTAAAAGCAGATTCCAGATCCAAATCCTGGTGGCCTGGTTCAAATCCTGGCCCTGCCACTTCTACACTACTGGCTGCACCTCTGTGCCTCAGTTTCCTTGTCTCTGAAATGGGGATGATGACACACCCTATGACCATTTGAATGGCTTGGTGTGATTTCCACTGGGCACCTTCTGCCCCCTTTTCTCGTGAGCCTCCTTATTCACCCTTGCCCTCTGGGAGGAGACACAGCTGCTGCAGCAGATGGGTTGTTCACATCCCTGTTGCTGCCCCCTTCTGACTGTGACCCTGTGGCCAAGGATCTGCTTTTCTGTGTCATTGCTCAGGTAAGGGGCAATGGTGTGCTGGCATTTGGCTTTCTGGCCAGTTCCCATGGTGTAAATCTTTCAGTCTCATAATGGGAGGTGGTTCAGGCCAGCTTCAGCACTCAGGCATTCAGGAGGTGTTTAATTTAATAATAATGGTTGGACACATAGGAAAGGACCCAGACACTGTCAGTCACATAGACTCGGGCAGCTGTCACGGAATGCTGCAGGGGAGAGGTTGAGGAGGAAGGTGTTGGACACCCCGAGGGCTGAAGGGGAGAAGGCACCCTTAAGAGCCTGCCGCGTGATGGAGGGCGGAAAGAGCAGAGAGTGTGTGGTGTCCTCTTTTCCTGAGACTCTTCACACCCCTGCTCTAGCCCCTCCCCACAGAGGCTCCCTGACCTTGACCTGGCCTTGGATTTTGTACAGAATGGCCCAGCTGGACCCCACGCTTTAGCCTAACAGGCCGCTGAGTTGTGGTTCAAACAGGACCTAAACCTCAGTGCCTATTCCTTGCTTTTGCTCTTCCCTCTACTTAAATATCTGTTTTGTCCCACTCCTTCCTCTGTCCCCTGAAACTCTGTCACCCATCAGAAGTTTGTTCATGTGCCTTCATGATGCCAGCCCTCCACTCCAGGTCAGACAACCCCTCTCCCTCTGCAGTTGCCCCTCTCCATGCAGCCCTGCAGACATGCACAAGTCTACCCACGAAAGTATTAACTGTGTCCCTGCAGTAACCCGTGCCGAGGCACCCTGAAAATCCCCTTCTGCAGAGGGGATTTACTGGAGGCCTGTGTGAATCTTGGTCCCTTTGCTGTAGACTCACAGAGCATGCCTGTCTCTTTGGCATGTTTGTTTTGTGTTCCCAATAGACTGTTGGGGACAGATGGACTGAGGAGGCCTTCTGTATGTATATGAATGAATGAACGAATGAATGAATGAATGAATAGGTGAGTGAATGAGGGATTCTCAGCTGAGGCCCTGCTGCCCTGCTCTTTACCCCCTTTCTCTTCCCAAATGGAGGGGACTTACCAGAGGGCGATCACAGGAACCCTGTTTGGCAGGGGTTACGGTCCCTGGGTCCCTGAGTGTGGTGGATCAGCCCATGGCTGGAAGCAGATCCCCTCTCCCTCGGTCTAAAGTGGGCTTGACCAGGGGGCTCCCAGTCTCACCCAGAATCCAACAAGTTCACAGGATCCTAAAATACTTTTCCTTGTGCTGCCTGAAGTGAAAATATCTCTGTCGGCTCACTTATTTTCATCTTTTCTATAAAAATAAAATTGGAACAATAGAAGTCATTCACACACCTAATTACCCCGTTGTTTTATGAACTTAGAGCTTATTTAGCTCAAAACTTTTAGTTCACACTAAAGTGAATTCCCTGGGAGAGGTGGGGGAGGGCCAGTGTAGATCTGGGGGCCTCCTCAGAGCCTGTCCTTCTGCAGCCCTGGCAGGACAGGCTGGGAACTTTGGGTCTGAGTGAGAGAGGGTGGCCTGAGTGGGCTGTGAACTTCTGGCTGGCAGAGATCCTCATGGGTGGCTTTCTTCGTGTTCTCCCCTCCTCCACGAGGACTTGCTGTTTGTTGTTTATGGCAGCACTTACTACATGCTGGGCGAGGGCCAGGCACCTTGCATGCTCCAACTTAAGTGACCTTTCATGCATAGGTACTATGAACCTTCTCCCTCCTCCCCTCCTAGGCCTGGAGTCAGGACTGACAGCCAGGAAGTGGCAGGACTGGGCTGTGTTCAATTTGTAGGACCCCAGAGCCTGTCAAGGCTGCCTGTCTGGGACCCCTTGGTCACTGAGACCTGTCCCTTGTCTCCCCATAGAATCCCAGGGTGACTTGACACCCTCCCAAAGCAGCTACCTCCCTAGCTTCCCAGCCTCCAGGCTACCTACCGCCTTTCCTCTACCTCCTGCAACTTCCTTCCTGCCTTCCTTGCCTTTGTCCAGGCTCTGTTTCTGGAAGTCTTGTTCAGTCTCACCTGGGCAGCTTGGAGCATATTTTTCAGGCACTACCCAGCCCATCTGTGTTAGATCTCTGCCATTGGCAGGGTATCCACAGTTTTCATGCATTTCCTTTTTCCCCCAACCTTTTATTCTGTTTTATTTTTTTGTTGGTACTGGAGTTTGAACTCAAGGCCTCATGCTTCCTAGGCAGGTGCTCTACCACTTGAGCCACTCCACCAGTCCTTGTTTATGTTGGATAGTTTTGAGATAGGGTCTGGCTTTTTTTTTGTTTGTTTTTTGTGGTTTTTTTTTTTTTGCCCTGGCTGGCCTTAAACCATGATCTTCCTGATCTCTGCCTCCCAAGTAGCTAGGATTACAGGTGTGAGCCACCAGTGCCTGGTTTCCATTTCTTTTTTGTGGGACGGAACTCAGTGTTCCATCACTGAGCCATACCCTCAGCCCTGTTTTCAAAATGCTGCCTTGGAGATTCCAAAAACCACTGCCCAACCCCAAGAAGTCCAGGCTGCCTTATGAACCCCCCAGGTCCCCACCTGTTCTCTGCCTTTGCTCCCAGTCACCTAGGCCTTCGTGTGTCATACTGTCCTCAGACCCCTTTGATATTAGACTGCGCTGTTGCCTCCTCTGAGGGC